GGTTATTTATTCGTGGAATTTACGATCTATGGTTTCTTTTCCATTTTTTTTTTTTTTTATCTAAACTGAAAGTGCGAGAAATTTTCCACAAGAAAAGAAAGGAGACCAATATTCTTATTTCGATGTAACAGATGTTTAATTGCTCGAAAATTCCATCATTTTTAAATTTAGCTTGAACCTTTCAGTGAGAGAAAACGGTATTTAGCTCGGTATGTGAGAGTTAATTCCGTATGAGTTGCTCAATATTGAAAAATTTTCGATACTGCACAAACTCCAATCGGAATTAACTCATTAATACTTTAATCAGTGTTTGCCATTGAATCAGCTTTCGTTCGACAATTCGATCTATACATTGTCGTGATATTATTCGTATCAGACAATTCTTAAATAACCAGAATTTCATGTCGATATCGTTTCGTTCTTGCTATCGCTTGTGCATTAAGAATTTTATCCATATCGATCGGTAAGCACTTTGGTCTCGAAAGTGGCGTTCGACAGAGTCGCCAGTTTAAGTTATGCGTTTCTTAAATATCTGTACAATATTAGACAGTTCATATCTTCGATATCAGACGGCAGTATTTCCAATCGTAGTTTCAATGCCTCCAGTCTGGCGCCAGTAGATATTCCCATAATATTCGTATTTAATTTATGTTAGCTTTACGGCCTGCGCTAACAGATCCGCTTATTTGTGAGTATTTTATTAGTCACAGTCACGTATCTCGCATTTTTTTCTTTTCATCTTTTCAGTCCTACGTTGTCAACGTTCTAGGTGTGTATCATTTTTCATCGCCACGATCAGGTTAGTTATCGTCTACTGCACACATATATGATTCTAACAGGAAGATCGAGCAGAGAAAAGATCCACGAATTGAGACAATTTAAAAGGAATGACGAAAGTGGAGTTTGTTAAATTTTTAATACGCGGTTACAGGAGCTCGTATAATTTCCTTGGGAAATACGAGCATAGTTCAAATTCAATGGATTTGGATTTAAGGCTCTTCAGACAAAGTTAAACGCTGGACGAGAGACGAAGGATTTTTAATTGTCAAAGAAAGGGAAAATCGTTGAAGAACTTTTTATTCTTTTCTTATAGAAATTATTATCGTATATTAAAATTTAATATCTTTTAATTTTGTTAACGTTTCGTATGTTATTTGTATTTCTATTTAAAAATGTGTGCAATTTTTATGTAAAAATATCGTTGTTGTTTCACGAAAAAATTATAAAATTTTGTGCAAGTAGAATTTTACCGTTCCACTTGCGAAAGGAATAACTATTCGATGAAACGTTTGAAGCGTTTCGTATTATCACCTTCTTCTTTTTGACGACTGTAATTTTTATTTTATTCGATTCTTTGCTCGACGAACTCCGTCCCACGGGGACTGATTTTGCGGAATGCAAACTTCGCCGTGGCTCTGCCATCCCCGCGAAACGATTAACGTTCCTAACAGGCGCAAAAGTGTTCCAAGAAACGGGGAAACGTCGCGACGCCCCGCATCGTAAAAATACAAGATTGGAATTACTTTGCAATAACGCCAATTGTCGCTTAAAAGGAGAGACAATTATTTCTCGGATACTCTTACAAGGAAACGTGTCCCTTCGATAACTCGATTGGTCACTATTTCTTTTCTTCTTCTTTCTGTTTTTTTTTCTTTTTTTTTTTTTTTTAATATCATTCTGTTTCGGAAATAAGAAATTTTAATTTTCGTCTGAAAAAGAGTTGCATTCCTCTGCAGTGTATTAAAGAAAAAATATTCATTCGCAGATGTCAGATATTAAAGTGCAAGTTTCAAAAAATTTAAGTATACTATTGATGTTTACAATTTGTATCGGTAATTGTAATATATAATTTCAATTTTATATAGAGTTAGTTTAAAGGTAATCATTACTCCAAGTAAAGGTAGATTTTATCTCATTCAATTGTTGGAATTTCAGAAAGTTCAGTTTCAAGAAAGACAAGTATGATACAAAATTAATTTCGTTTCGATCAAGTCCTCTTTAATTACTAATAATAGAAACACGTCTTCTCACGATGTTTCTTCAAAGGCATAATACACTAAAATTTAACAACAGTTTTGCCAAGAGCAAACAACGTCTTCTTGAAGTAAATCGCACGTGCTTATAACGCCAAATATGAAATAATTCAATGAAAAAATAAATCGAAGAAACTTTTCAACTACAGCACAGAATATAGGATTATTACAGAAGATTACTAAGCAACATCAATATCAGAATTTACGCGATACACATTGAACATAGCAAAGGCAAGGACCTACGATATGAATATAAAGATATGAGCTGAATAACATTGTTTTTGCACTGGTGACGCGTGCGATGCTATTGCAGGACCCGAATGGCAATAAATTCATTCTAATTTCGACGTTTACGCGAGTACTCGTGCAATCCGGTACTGGATATTTCTATCCAGTCATTGTCTCGCATAGTTTGTTCGTCTATTTCGAGGCTACGCGAACCGGAATATATGTACGTCTTATCCGACGAGATCTGTCCATCGTCGCTAGAAGCAAGGTGCAAATTCGAGAAGAATGGAAATATCGTAACGATACACCGTAACGACGAACGAAAGAAAGAAAACGCGAATGAGATATTGGTGACATTTGGCTTTAAACAGCGATGTCTATTACCTGTGAACGATGAAATCGTTTTTAGATGGAAATGCAATTGTATGCGATAATATAGTTCCTGTATTATACATAACGTATAAATATTATATATATATATATATATAAATTTAATATAAATTATTCTAGTAGATTTAGATTATTCTAAACAGTAGTACGAACCAAAAATTACACGTCACGTTGATATCTGTCGTAATTTGTTCTTTCGATGTCGATTTAAAACGAGCTATCGTAAGTCGCGTGCGTTCGAAAGCTTGTTCGCGATTTTTCGTCACATGTTGATTCAAATGCCAATGAAACGAAAGAAAAACAGTATATGTCATGCAGTGATGTCAAGCAAGGGACAATAAAGGCAACCTAACAGATGATCATTCACACCTACTGTTTCTCTTTCGACTAATTTGACGATGTATCCGTGGAGGAGGAAGACAGAAGAAACTCATCGATGAAAATTCAATCTTTGGTGTATCGATGGCATCTTCGAGTTGATCTTAAATCGAAATGTTGTAATTTTCTTTAATTTTTTCAATTTCATCTGCTATCGTATATCGATATTAAATGTTTTCGTTGAACTATCGTAAAGAAATCAACGTGATCATTTGTTGTTATTATTAATTGACATGTTCGAGTAATATAATTTTATGCTTGTCGTCGTTATATTTTACACGCTGCAATTGTTGAAAATTCAACACACACACACACATACATATATATAAATATTTTATTTATTTTTGCTAAATATTATTATTATGGAACTTTAGTTTAAAGTAAACGTTTGTAATAAATTCTATATATATTTGATTCGTTGCTACGTTTAATTTATTTAGTAACAAAATATGGAGCAATATTATAATTATTGTCGATTAAATTAGTTGGCATGCGTCAAGACTGTGCTTTTAATTAATTTATTGCCAAGCCTGATTTAAAAATGTTGCCATTTCGCTTATCGTATATCGTTGAAAAGTCTGCCATCGTTTCGCAATGACTCTGTGCACTGACCAAGATTAACGATAAACATCATTTGCATAAGCTCAGGCACAGACATTTCTATATAACGAATATATAATTGAGATTGACGCCGCGATTATAATTTCAAAGAGAAAATGATTTCGTCATATATTTCCTAAACTATTTGCGATGTAAGTTTAATACGTACGGTAAATGAATATTTGTATTAGTAGCTTTACTGAAGTTTATTATAAACAAAATTCACTTCTGTTCTCTTTCAATTGTGAGATATGTAATGGAATATTCTAAAGTTGAAATAGAGTATACAATATTTAAAATGTACAAAAAAGAGAACAGAAAAATTGTTTTGTAAAAAATAATTATTTATTGTCATATCTAGTTTAGGAAGTATACGATATACATATATATAATGTATCTATGTTCATGAAAGTCCAAGTTTAATTTCTCACATATTTTGTCACTTTTGACGCTTTTTAAATAATAAAACATAAAAGATTTCTATTCTCACGTTACGATTTATAATTTTAAATAATTATGATGGATTCAATAACTGTAGGAAAATTCGAAACCTATCACGTTGTATTACATGCGGTAATTAAACTTGTGATATAATGTAACCGAAAAATACCAATATATTTGATCTTTAATAGAAAAAGAAGAAATATCTCTTTCTATGAGCGAAACAAGAAACAGAATAATTGAATGCTTTTTCTCTCAAAACTCGAAGCTTGGAAACTCATACTTGAAATTAGTAAAACGAGGAAAAACGAACATAACAAAAGGAATTAGTATAGCTGCAACTTTTAAAACAATATACAACTTCAATTTATATCGATATTTTTGCGATTATACCTTAAGTTAATCGTGATTATCCATGCGAGCTTTCACAACACCATTCACAGAGTATTTGTACAATTAAACCAAGATAGACCGATAGGTGATAAAAATAGGAAGCGTGTAAATGAAATTTAATGTTTCTTAGCTTTCACTCGTAATTTGAAGATAATTGAAAAAAACTTACGAAGTTGTCGATCAGCCAGACGTAGAAAAACGAAGAAACGCGACGCCAGGATTGAGAATGTTTCGAAGATAAAACACGTGCACTCTTGTATACCTAAAATAATCGACAGTAATCACTGTAAAGAGTATAGAATGTCGAAACTGCACTCGTAAAGTTCTACAGATATAAATTATTTAGGATAGCCTAATAATTAATCATCGATTAATTCTTTAAGTTTCGAGAATGCTTTATCTAGAGGTGGATTGAAATAAATGAAACGAGTAAATAAATGAATTTATATAATGTATACATATTATATGTATTTACGAGAATGATTTATCTATGTATTCATATACCGTGCGTATATGTGTATATACGTATGTGTCTGTATGTGTGTATGTGGATGTATATACTTACATACATATACATATATATATATATATCGGTTAGCAACTACTTTCAAGACTGTGGAACATCATAGGTGTATAAATGTTTAAATAAATTATTATAACGTGGCAAACAGTATCTCCTGAAAGTTGTTTCGCTATTCCCTTCAATTTACCCTCTTTTCTTTCTCTTTAATAATATTATTATTAGTTAACATAGTGGAAGATACACATAGATGATGTGTTGTGTATCGTCAGTTTATCAATAAGTAATATAACATTTTACATCATAGATAAGAAGTATATATAACACAAGCAATGCACAATTATTAAAAATAGAAAAAAATTAAATTTACGTTAGTGGTTGATTCGTTCGAACGACAGTTCTCTTCGCTGATGTGGCAGAAAATTTGTTTGTCTGCTGACTTCATTCGTTAAGAAGAGTATATACATCCGAGTCTTATTCGAGGTCGATGTTTAGTTTGACAAAACATTAAATTCCGTTTGTATTTCACAAATTTCTACTGTCACTTCAAATTGTCAAACGTTCGGGATCTAGTATGATTATACTTTGCTCACACGGAGGCAGCACCTGCTGTTTCAATTGCATAGACATCTGGTAGATAACATTACACCTTCTTGAACTGTTTGCACATTGACTTACCAGTTAGTCATTGGTATTATATCTTAGTCAATTAGGATAGATCGGCCAACTAATCCTTTTTTGTGTCCATCGTCTTTGAGAGTCCTATGTTTCGTCACAGACGAGATATATGAATAGACCAAGCACCTTACGAAGTTTCGTGACCCGTGACCTAAAATACCGACATTACCCGTTAAAGCATAGAGTGCGCTAAAAATCCAACGATTTTTTTCTAGTCGGTATTTCAGACTGTGTGACACAAAGCCTCATTTCATGTCTCATCTTCTCTATCTTTAGTCAATGATAATATGCATTTTGAAGGTTATGTTCATTAGCACAGTTTGTAAACAATATTAAAGGTTATTGTGATGAAAAGATTAAGTACTCGATAATAATGGCAAAAAGTGAAGAAAAATGATTAACATTTTATTTTATGCTTAGAAATTCGACTGTTGCAAATTGTCATTGCACGTAGAAAGCAATAGTAAATTTTATACAAATTCATGTGCTACATAATTTTATCAAAATGTATTTAAATTTCATTATTACTTTGTGTATTTTTCACTTAAGTTGTGCTTGGGAGGTTTGTATTGTAATTTAATATTTTTTAAATGTCTTGTCATTATTGTGCACAAAAACCTAACCTTTGCAGATACCGGACAATTTCGCTAAGACAGGTCATTCAAATAATTGGGCAGTGTTGGTCGATACTTCACGATTTTGGTTTAATTATCGACATGTAGCAAATGTGTTGTCAATTTATAGAAGCGTTAAACGCTTGGGTATACCAGATTCTCAAATTATTTTGATGATAGCAGACGACATGGCGTGCAATCCAAGGAATCCTAGACCAGCTACTGTCTTTAATAACATTAAGCAACATATTAACGTCTACGGAGACGATGTAGAAGTAGATTACAGAGGTTATGAAGTTACGGTAGAGAATTTTGTCAGATTATTGACTGGACGATTAGCACCAGAGACACCAAGATCAAAGAAGCTATTGACAGACGAAGGGTCTAATATTTTGATTTATCTTACTGGTCATGGTGGAAATGGATTTTTGAAATTCCAAGATTCTGAAGAAATTACTAGTAAAGAACTTGGAGATGCGTTAGAGCAAATGTGGCAGAAGAGAAGATACCATGAAATTTTATTTATTGTTGATACTTGCCAAGCAAGTTCAATGTATGAGAAGTTTTATTCTCCAAACATTCTAGCAGTTGCTTCTAGTCTAGTGGGGGAAGATTCACTTTCTGTGAGTAACAGATGTTATATTCTATCAGCAATATTTTTTTAAATGGAATATTATCTCTTGTTTTGTTTACAGCATCACTTGGACCCTGCTATTGGTGTTTACATTATAGATAGATATACTTATTATGCATTAGACTTCCTAGAAAAAGTAGAACCTTCTAGTTCCAAAACTCTGGGAGAATTTGTAAGTTATACATAAAGAAATTTTTTTAAATTAAAGTTGTATTTGCTGCATGAATTAATGCATTTATTTTTCTAGCTCAAAGTATGTCCCAAGCATTATTGCTTGTCAACGGTAGGAGTGAGAAAAGATTTATTTAGAAGAGATCCTGATAAAGTACCAGTCACAGATTTCTTTGGATCATTAAGGCCTATAGAATTAACAACAAGTATAATAAATGTTTTGTCGCCCGTGAAAACAAACAAAACAAAAGCTATCGAACCAGAAAGGAAGTATTCTTACGTTGCACAATTTCCAGATGTATCAAAATTTACGTGATTTACAGATATACGAACAAATACTTAAATATTTAAATAAAGAATGTAAAACAATGAAATATGTAATGTTAATAAAAGAACGTATTTCCTGATACTTTGAATTTTTACGTTATCATTTTAAATGTATTCAGCGAATTTTGTACACGTTCATACATTCACATTATACTGTGCAATCATATTTTTATCTCGAAAGCATTAAAAAGGATATGTGTTCATTACATTTTATATTTTTGATTAAATGTTTTTCTTATGAATCATTCATCAAAATGTAATGTTCTGTAATTCAACGATTTTAGTTGTGTAATCATTTTGTCATTATAAGCATATTTTAAATGATTAATGAAATAGATACATTACGTAAATTACAAGAAACTTCACCTCGCTTTAGAATGAAGTGGTCACGGTCAACGTTAATTTTTAAATCTCACGATACCGAGAAATGAAAGAACACATTCGATCATTACCAGCGTCAGCATTGAAGTATTAAACATTTCTCTGTATTATTTAAATCAGTGGGATAGATTTGCGTAATTATTTCAACTATCGCATGTATATGTAAGTATGCATATAAGCATGACTCGGTCATGCAATAACGACAGTTAGTGAAACGAGGCTGATAGTGTCATGTGAGAATTTTAATCGATTTAATTATCACAAACAATATTTGGAAATCATTGAAATCTCTCAAGTTCCGTGATTTCTATTAAAATTTTGAATATATTTACTATTTAATAATAATGGTAAACAAATTTCGATTCATGCTATAAATTTTATTTTTTTTTCCATATTCTGTTTATTTTTCAAATTTGTTTTTCATAGAAATATTCAATTAATTAATGATTTCTTTTAATAAAACTTGCATGCGTATATAGTCTTTCAAACATAATCTTTCTATGTAAATTAAAATGTCCATAAGCTAAAAATTTACTACATACTTGTTTTTTTAGATGAATCCCTTCAGTACTTTGATAGTCATCTTCACGTTATGTACTTTGTCATTCACTAAGTTAAATGAGGAATATGTGCAAGTGTACCAGATAGAGTTAAATGAGTTAAAGAAAATGAAGCAAGAACCACCCGAAGATCCAGCAATTAATTCTTTTGCAACTGAACCTCCACCACTACTTCCCCTTTGCACTAGTACAGGATATTTTAGGGATTCTTTTAATTGTAAGAAATTTTATCATTGCCAACATGCGAAAGCAATTCCGATGGGTTATTACTGTAAAGCTAACTTAGTATTTAATCCGCATACTCTTTCGTGCGACAATCCCCAATACGTCATTTGTTGAACGAATATTTATATAAGTATAAGGCTCGAAATTTTTTATAAAAATATATTTAAATGTGCAGCTATATTTATTAATTTTAGTCTTTAGTTTAGTAGCATTATAAATGACCTATAGCCTTAAGATTAATATTGGCATCTATCTATGATATTGTATTGTGTTACACTATTGTAAATAAAAAAGTTTACTTACAAGAAATTGTAAATAAAATAGTACATTTTCGTTTTTATAAAAAGAAGCTTATAAGTTTTATAAAATAAATTATTTCAAATTATTTTGGATGTTTAAAGAAGTGAAAAAATCAGCGAATACAATGAATCATGATTTTATTTGTTATATAATAATATCTACAATAAAAATACCACATCGTTTGAAAAACAATTTTCGTTACAATTATATAGTGATTTTATATAATAATATAATATTTAGGTTTTCGTTCCAAATAAGATGTAGCGATGAACATACACCTCGCAGTGGGAGTGAGAAAATACATTTTTTTTTTTTTTTTGTTGCAAATTCCACATTGATTTCTTCACTCAGTGTTATTTTTTTTTCTTTTTCAGCTTTTTTTTTGCAATACGCAACGAACACACTCGAAGTGGCACCACGACGACGTGGTATCATCTTTTTATTATCGCATTTTTCTCTTGCTTACTTCTTGTTCGTACTTCCGGTGATTATCAGGATGAAAAGATATACTTCCTCCAGAGTAGCCGTGTGGTGTAAGGAATCCGCTTCGAGTGTCTCGTTCCTATCGTTTTCTTTTTTTTTTTTCTAGTTTTTGTCTGTTTTTTAAATATTTCGCGTCGCGTGCGCGTTGGCCCGCCTTCTCCGCCGTTTTTTACTGTTTTTTTATCTCTTTTGTTTGTTTGTTTGTTTGTTTCTTTTGTTTTTTTTTTTTCATTTAGCGAGATTTATAGAAATATTGGACTAGAGTAATCCAACCTTTTCCTATCTCTTGTAACGCGAGCGTCCGCCGACCTAATTTTCTTTAACTACACTTAGTTAATAGTACCGTAATGTCATCTCAATATATATATCATTGTATTAGTTGTCATAATATATAGAAAATACATATAACAATTATTTAAATGACTCACAATCAATCATTTGTTAGAATGTATATATATGTGTATACATACGTGCAGATATGTATACATATATAGATACACGCATACACACATGTATACATACATATATTTATATATATATATATATATTTATTTATTCATTTATTTATTCATTTATTTATATATATTTATATTTATTCATTTATTTATAATATTTATATTTATATTTATATTAATCGGTGTGTTAATTTTACATGATATTTTTTTTTACACTCGTCGAGAGGGAGGAAAAGGATGCCGAGGAAGGATTCTGCGAAAGGTGGAAGGAACAGGAAATATCTCTGAAAGGGTACAGGAACGGGCACAGGATCAAGGGATTAAGTAGACCTTTCATACATTTACATTGCCCTCGTCGTACTACTATTTTAAAGTAAAACTCCTCAGGACTTAGTCGATTATCTTACAAACGTTTCTCTCTTTTTTTTTTGTTTACTTTGTCTATCTTGTACTGTTGTACGTATCCTCGCTCTTTCTTTTTTACGAATTTACTATCTCTTTCGTCGTACCGTTTCGGCAGGCGCGGAGCAGATGGAATATTTTGTTACTCTTCACTCTTTCTATATCTCACTCATTTTTATATGATTTCTCGCGATGTCTATCGGTGTCTTTTTTTTTTTCTTCTTTTAATCTTTACAAACGAATCACTGCTTCTCGTGCTCTGAACGTCGGACGTTTTATTTTTTCTCTCCTCTCTCTCTCTCTCTCTCTCTCTCTCTCTCATTGTCTTCGATCGCTTTTGTTAACGGGACATATAAACATTTACACGTGTATTATATTATCTAACATATTCGTGTATCGATACTTAGGTAAAACTCTCGCTTCTTCCGCCGATCTCTATTCCGTTCTGCAATGGAAGCTTTAACCACGACCGCTTCGACTCGATCTTCCAGCTCGCGCGTTTTCGAAATTTTCCCTTTTCCCAGGCGAACACCTGTTTCCGTTACGATACAAAAAGACGACAGGGCGATATTTTCACTCTCTTTCTCTCGTTCTTGTTCTCGTTATCGAAAAAAAGGAGCTACGACTACGCGGATCGTTCAGCAACGATAACTGCTCGCAATTCAGCGTGCTCGTGGCTCCTTTTCCCCCACTTTCATTTTTTCCGCTCGATTCTTTCGTTCAGCATTTCCGACGACTTCCCGGGGAAATCGTACTTTCCGTGATCCGCGCGAAGACGCTGGCTACTCACGCTGGTATATATAAACGTAATGACGTAGCTCGAATGATGTCGCATTTAGAAACTTTAGAATCGTCACGCGATAACGAGGTTCGGTAATTCGTTTATTGTACAAAGTAGCACACACGAGGTTGAAGAAAGAGACGACAGGGTGTCCCTTCATTCTTCGAATTTGTTTCAAATTTCGCCGAAATATACTACGTTTCTCTGTAAATGGTGTCAAACACTTGAAATATTCCTCGAAACATCGTTATAGGCTTTTCTCTTTCCTTATTATCCATTATTGAGCGGAAAGGTATTGCTGTGTGGTTTCTTGTCAAGAAGAATCCTGTCTTTTGATATGTCAGACGTCTAGCTCTCTCTCTCTCTTTCACTCTCTCTCATTCTCTCGCTCTCTCACACTCTTCACTTTTGATCTCCCTTTTCTCAGCCTTCATCTCCGTCGACGTTAATCCTTCGAGTGAATGTCTCCTATTTTTCTTTTTTTTAAATTCGCTTTCTTTCTCATAGAAATTTCGCTCGAAGTTAAAATAGACGATTGATCGATCTCGAAGCTCGTTTCGAATCTGCGAAATCTAGGATCCAGCGATTCTCAACTAGAGTTTTGAAACATCTCGGATCTTTCTAAATTGCAGAAGTCCATGTTGTTCAAAATCATTGTTTGCATAAAATTTCAGTTGAGAGTTCCCTGATCTAGAAAAAAAAAAAAAAAAAAAAAAAAAATAGGGCTGGACTTATTTACGTTGTCTCATCTGCGATTCACAACGGCTACGAGCGTTCTCTCCAATTACAAAAAGTGACAACGCGGTGGAAAGATCAAAGTGAAAGCTCTGACAGAACATTCTCTGCTGATTCTCTCTCGTTACACGGATACGAACGGATAACATCGATAAACGTGCTTGCTATGTACACGCGCCGAAGAACACCGACGAGAAGTGAGTGCACGAGATAAATAAATACGAGAATTGTATTTGAAAGAACGTCCAGTCCTATTGTTTGATTGTTTGCACCAACGTGCCGATCGAATTTTATCACACTGATGTCTCGTTTCCGTCAAGCGCGAATGATTCGATGAAACTTTTGCAAAGCGAAAACCACAACGATGACTGCTACGAATCTTTGCAATCAATATCGTTCGAATCCATTCGGCGTTTCACCAGTGAAACTCAAATTCGTTCGAATCCCCGGATTATTAAAAAAAAAAAAAAAAATCGCATGTTTCCCGCCTGTGTCGATGTCAACCCTTGACTAATGCTTTCGCTTTACAACGTCGCTTAAAAATACGAACAAAATTATCTGACGAGCGTTTCGAGCCGGACGACGATCCCGACAATTAACCCTCGTATTCTAAGTCTGTGCATTTTGATTTTGGAGCTTCAGCCATGGTTACTGTACACACTGTATAATATATATCCTTCACATAAATAGTAGCTAGCAGCGAGGACGCGTCGATCTCGTCTCGAAAATCAAAAAACAGATTCTCCTCGATTCGACGTAGTCCGCGCTGTCTCTCCTCGTGGACTATTGCACTCGAGAGTCTTGTAATCATCGACAGTCAGCAACGTGTACTCGAACAATCACTTCCTTGCTATCTGTCGATCTGTCGACTGTTTCTTTGATCATTCCCCTCGTCTCCGTATCGTTTCCCATTTTGATTGTCAAATTTGATTTCTCCAATTTTTGATTTCTGGCGGCTTTTGATTATCGAGTCTCGAGCGCAGTCTGCATCCCGCATTGCGACGCCGTTTCGATCGCATTAGGCAACCGAACGTTGAAACGAAGAGATCGTTGGATCAGAAACAGGCGAATGGGTTCTTTCTCCGATCGATCAGCAAGCCGTTCTAATTAAATTAGCTGACGTTGCAAGGGTTTTGCAAGC